GCTCCGGTGCCACGGCTGCTCCTGCCTCAGGAGACGGTGTCTTGGCTGGCAGCTGTGCCTGGGACTGGCACGAGAGCCAGGCAGAGCGTGGACCCAGCGGCTACGGTGCAGCGTGGAGATCGCCATCGTTTTCACTGTCCCCAGGGGACGCTGGAGGAGAGGAAGCCCTGATGGCACCGGATGGACGGGACATTCCACGTGGTCCCTTGGAGCCTTGCAGCAGGGCCCTGCCGCCCCACAGCAGTCGTGGCGTTCCGAGTGTGAGATGTGACCTGTCCTTCCCGACCTGCCTGTACTTTCTGTCCTCTCGCGTTGTTTTTATGTTCTTTTAATTTCTTGTTCTCCCTATGTCCAGGAGGCCGGATCCCTGTAACTTGTGCGACACAGGATGCCATGGTCGATGCCTGTGGGCGCTCTCTCCTGCAGGAAGCCAGGAGCAAAGGCACAAAATCCTTTTGTTTTCTATGAACAGGGACCATACTTCCATGGAAGGAGGACTGTGACAGGCGCAGGTGGAGTTTAATCCCAGTTTGCCTTGGATTCCCTGTCGGCTGAAGACGGTGACCTACCTCACAGGGCTGTTGTGAGGCTTCGTGCTTGTTCGTGATGCATGTGGCACTCGCGGGGCCGGTGCTGTGGGGTAGCAAGGGGGCAGCGGGGCAGCTGAGCACGAAGGCCTGAGGTCATTTGTTTTTATTCACCATTTCTTATGCTCTTTGTATTGGAAATAAAGGCCACCAAGGGCAGCGCTCTGCTGGGAAAGGGAAGCGGCAGGAATCCCACAGCAGAGTGCGGGTGCAAAGCTGTTTCTAAGCATGGGAAGGGCGGTGAAGGGCCAACAGCCTGGCACCTGCCTCCCTTTGGGGATCTACATTGGGTTCTCCCAGTTCTCTATTAGGATTTAATTTACTTGTCCTGGGTTTCAGTGGAGCTGCGGCCTCTGCCCTTGGAGTGGTGGTGGCTGGTGCAGGTCCCCGTGGCTCTGGGGTGAAGAGCAGCAGGGGTCCTGCAGCCTGGGTTTGTGCAGAACTTCCCCTCTTCATTTCACTTGCTTGAGGTTGTCACTATTATTTGACCAGTGTTTGTTTCTTTTGGCCTGTGTAATGGGCGCTAGGGGGTTCCCTTCCAGCAGGTTTAAAACAAAAAAAAGACAAAAAAAGACACCAAAAAAGAAAAAAAAGAAAAAAAAAAAAGAAGACCAAGCTATTGTCTAAATGGTTCAGAACTAGTGTGATATTGGGATGCTTCAGTGGCTGTTATGTGATACTGGATCTTTTTACAACATAGATTAAAGACAATAAAAAGGGATAGAGTAGTAACTGCCTCTGTCCTCTTCTTTCTTCCTGGGGAGTGTTTGGCTCTGCTGCTGGGGGATGGCACGGTGCTGGCGGGGAAAGCCCTCGGGAGCCTGAGCTGGAGGGGCCTGGGCTATTCCTGAGTCTGTCCTGGTGCTGCCCCACAATCCACAGCTGGGGAGGCTCTGGGTGCCGGGACAATGCAGCCTCCTGGGCAGCAGGGTCAAAGGCGTGTTCAAGACAGACCCCTCTTTGCATCCCTCCTGTGCACGAGCCCTCAGCCTGGCTACAAAACCTTACTTAAAAGAGCATGTGGAGGCCCTGGCTGGAAGAGGACAGTGGCCCCTGGGATCTTCTCCTTTTGTTGGCTGTGCCCATGCCCTTGGGCTTGCCCTGGCCACTGCTCTATGAGGAACCAGGTGGGATGGGGAGAAGGAAGAAACCCCCAGGTCATGCCAGTGAGAACTGGGTGCACCTCCAAGCCCTGGCTGGAGGAGCAAAGTGGAGTCAGGGGGAATCTCCCAGTGGCTGAAAGCACCAGCGCTGACCCCTTCCTCCACCCCTTGCTTTATGGCTTCTTCTGCCATCAGGCAGCCCCTGACTGTGCCACCAGCCCCAGCCCGGCCTTCCCGACCCGCACACAAACTCACACTCAAGCTGAGAGGGAACATCTAGAAGCTTTATTTCAACCCTTTACAATAGTAAGAATCACAACATCAAGTCAGGAAATGTTGCTAAGGAGACGGCCGCACTGCCCCTCGCAGGAGGGGGAAAGAGAAAGGCAGAAGCAAACCAGTCTGAATTAACCCCATGGCAGGAGGGGCTCTGCCCCGGCCCCCTCCCCAGCTCCCAGAGCTGTCGTCTCAGGCCTCCCCCCAGCACAAGGCTGCACTCAACCACCCCCAGGAGATGGGGCCGCTGCAGAGGAATCCTAACACAGAACGGGAAGAACACATCACATTTAGAGCACACTTCACACACTGCTCATTCCTCACTCCAGCCCGGTGAGGTAAAAGGAGCATCGTCCCCACCTTGCGGATGGGGAAACTGAGGCAGAGAGGTTCCCAAGACCCCAGAGGGAGCCAAGAGCCAGGCTCAGCCCCAAGCCCTTGTCTCCAGCCCTACTGTCCTCTCAGTCCACCCACCCCTCCCCAAGCTCATTCCCCCCACTACATCATTACTGTACCTATGTTATGGGGTAATCAAAGCTGCAGGCAATGCTGAATGCTGGGTGGGATGAGCACAACGGGTGCAAGACCAGAGGCCGGTGGCCAGCGAGACTCGTGTGAGGGAGAGCCGGAAGGCAAACACTTACTGGAGCTGGAGTGCAGGTGGGGAGGAGGAAGGAGAGCTGCAGCACTCCTGCTGCTGCTGCTGCTGCTGCTGCTGCTGCCTCCCATCCGCCCGCTCGCAGCCTGCCCTGCACCAGGAGGGCTTTGGGTGCCATTTCCCCCAAGCCTGGAGGCTGCCACTCGGCCTTCAGCAGGGCCAGCACTGAACAGCTTAAGATGGGCTCAGCCATTCCCCCCGTCCACACATGGGGAGGACACAGGAGCCCTGGTCACCCCAAGGCTGTCACCGACATCAAGCTCCTGCCACACTCCAAGAGAACTAGAACTTCTGCCTGAACACAAACACAAGAGGGTCCTAGAGCCCCGCTCACACCCCGATACTACACGGGGGGCAATGGCGAGGGTCAGCATAGAAAACTACATTCAGTTTGCGGTCAGGACGCTGACCCGAGGGCGCTCCTGTGGCCTCAAGCACACAGACTTGGCTACTTGAATGTACTTTAACAGTGTAAAAAGCCCCAAAGTAACTGTGGCGACACTGGGCACCCGCAACCAGGATGGCCACGGTGACCCCTCTGCCTGCCCAAGCCGGAGAGAAGCTCACACCCAGCCCTTCCTGCTGCGTTCTCTTCACTTCAGCAGCTCAGCCACTACCAAGCCAACGCTCTCCTTGACCCTAAGCTTAGCAAAGGGCTCAGTGCCCCAACCAGCAGGGCCCTGACCCAGCTCACCAAAGCCCCCCAGCTGCCCGGCCATGCCAGTCCCTCCCCTCTCTCCTCCTCCTGCCTCCCCCAGAGCAGCATGAGCCCAAGCGCAGCTGCAGGAGCTAGCTCAGGACAGCAACGTGTACACTGAAGCTGATCTAATTCAGACCGCAGCTCTTTTGATCCAGGGGAATTTGCTCCCTCTATCCCTAGATTAAGCCAACATCAAATTCAGCTCCTTCTCTGGCTCTGCCCAGCCAGCAGCTTCCCTGCAATGCTCAGTTAAGATCTCAGCACAAACCAGCTCACTGCCACCCCTCCACATGAGGCGATTAAAGCTGTTTTCCCCACCCATGGCTCTCTTCCCGGGCTAGCAATATGTACAGCCGTTTCCTTAAAATGAACCAAACCCCCAGTAAAGCAGTATGAAACCTGAAGGCGCTGTCCTAGAAAAACCACAGCCAAGGAGTGGATCTGGATTTGTTCATCAGCTACACACAGGCACAACAAGTGTTAGAGAAAGTGGCACAGAAGCACAGGGCAGCCGCTGGGTGCTCGGCTGAGCTGTGTCAGAGGCTGGGAAGGGCTGTGCATGTTTGGAGATGGGCCTGAAAGCATCACCCGGGACTGAGGAGCAGCCGAGACAGCAGATAAAAGCAACGCAGGGGATGAAGGTGGCGCTGCCGTCCCTCTGCAGTGCTTTTGCCATCTCAGAAGACAACAGGTAACACTGCCGCTTGCCTTCCTCCTGCCAGCCCTGAGCTCCGACCAGGACCTGCCTGCCTCCCTGTGCCCCAGCATCTCACCCCAGGGCATCACCGCAAGCGGAACGCGACATCTCGGCTTCGACCTCCTCAAACCAGCACCGCCGCCAGACTGCGCTGTCCCTGCCTCGAGCCACTCGAGTGGTCCCTGGTCACTGCCGCCTCCTCTGCCCAGCCGGGGAGCCTGGGGTCAGCTTCACCTGCGTTTGCTGCCCGCCAGCAGGGAAGCATGGCTCCAGGCACACCTTGGCCAGCACTGGACCCTTGTGACGGGCACCAGAGCCCCTAGCCCCGAGTGGGTCTGCATTATTGCTTGGGGAAGCACAGCCCCTGGTGAGGGAGGGGATCGGCCTTCGCCTCAGTCCCTCTCCTCCAAACTTCCCCTCAATTCAAGTGTTGGAAAAAACCAGTACAAAACCAAATCCAAGACTGACAAGATCAAGCTGGTGTTTATAATTTAGCAGTAAGAGAAAGAAGGAAGCATCAGCAAAGGGCAGTGATATATACCGGAGGGCAGCATGCAGGTGAACGGGTGGTCGGAGGCAGCAGCAGCCCCATGGGCCTGGCTGGAAGGTTTCAAAGCGTCCCGACACAGCTCTGCTCTCTTGAGGGATGAGGTTTCCAGCCTCGGCCCCTGCCCCAGCTCCAGCCCTTCTCACTGAAGAGCCGGGCCTGCAACAGGGGCCAGGTTAGTGCTGGCCAAGGCCACACGCCACAACACAAGGGCAGGGAGAGAGCAGCTCAGCAGCTGTCCCCGGTTTGGGATTACAGGGATGTGGGATGGAGGGGAGGAGTGCAGTGGGGAGGAAGAGGAGGAGGAAGAGGAAGGGAAGCACTGGGAGGTTTCCAGGGTATATATAACCGCCCCTTTGAGGTGCAAATCTGCATTGCTTATTTCAATTTGTATTCAGAGGAGAAAAAGCACTTACGAAACTAGCAGACGACTTTGATGCAAACTAGTACATTTTAATGCCATTTTATTAGAAATCATGCAAACTTTAATATAAAAAATACAAGTGCAATAAGAATCTTTTTGTGTAAATACAGATTCCGGGTTATCGTGTCGTTGTCGGCTTCCCACAGAAATATTCCCCCAAGCACGAGAAGCTGCTGGCTTCCCTCTGTCTCCTCCTTGGACAGCCCCCCCTTAGCGCACGCCTGGTTCAGTTCACTTTGATCCCAGTGTTTTGTTATTCCGCCTTTTTTTCTAGTTGCTGCTTTTTTTTGTTTGCTTTTTTTTTCTTTAAATTAATTTGTCCACCCAAGAACACTCTTTTTTTTTTTGTTTGTTTTGTTCTTCTTGGTTTTAATTTATTTACATTTCTTTAGTGTCATTTGCAACATGAAACGAGGAGCTCACACCTCCACGAGCAGGTCAATCTCCTTAGTCCTAGTCAGAGCTGCAACTCCCTGGCACTAAAACCTGCCTCCCCTGCACACCCCGGGGTGCATCATCCCAGGAAAAAGGGGGCCTTTCCCATCTTCCCGACCTCAGCCTCGCCCTGGACAGCCGGACAACACGGTCACCCCCCCATCAGCCTCTGCTACCACACCACACCACACGCGCGCACGCACCACAGACCTGCTTCGGCCTCGGAACTCCAGGCCTGCGTTAACCTGCAACTCCAGCGTGACAGCAGCCTCCTGCCTCTCCTCTGACCATAGGCCCTAGCCAGAGAAAGCTCAATCCCAGGGCTGTGGCTGAGAGCATGAATAAATAAAACCGTCTTCACGCTGCTAACGCGTCCTGGGCCTACAAGAGGTTTGACCAGCATCAAGCCAACACATCTCGTTGCAGTTAACACAGGCTGCATCTGATCTGTTACAGCAAGTTCTCTGTTAACACGTTCTCGAGCCTTTCACTTCAGACATGGCTTAATCCCATGAGTTTGCTCCATCGTTTTAAAATATTAGAAGAAAAAAAACAAAAAACCCAAAAAACAAAAAACCAAACCCAAAACAATCAACAACAAAATTGTTACAATTGCTGGATATGTCAATAAGAAGCCAGCACTGCAGCAGCGGTTAATGTCTCTACTCTCCTACGGTTAGGAAAAGAAGGGAAGAGAAAAGGAAACTTAGCAGGGGGTTGTAGCACAATAAATCATCAACACATCGTCACGAAGAATAAAAGGTTAAAGTCAACAGTTAAAACAGCCTAAACGTGTGTGTATCATATATATCATCATCATCATCAAACAGGATCAGCAGAAACTGAAGCGGCAGGGAGGGAAAGGTGGGTTCTTGTCTTGTTTAAAAATAAAGACAGAAAGAAAGGTCACAGCTTATCCCTGTTAACTCTGGCCTGGCTTCAGCCACCAGCAGCACAGGCACGCTCCTACCCAGCCACTAAGACACAGCCTGGAGGTTGACTAGATGCCCGTTCCTGCCACAGAACACTAACACTCGCTCCAGCATCCCCCTGAAAGCAAAAGGGATGAGGCATGGAGGGGGGAGGAAGCCCCTTCCAGCCAAGAAAGGACCACTGGAGCCTGACACGCTCGGGCAGGGGCAAGCCTCCGGGATGTTTAGAAGAGTCATTGTGGCTGGAAAGGGATGCCTGCCCTGCTAAACGCTGTCCCCTTCCCACCTAAAGCCAGGGGCAGGGTTAAGAGAGCCAAGCTGCGTTACTGTGGGGAGAGGGCAGGGGATGGGGCCGGGAGGGGTCACAAGCCTTGCTGAGAAAGCGCTGCAAGGGGAGCTGGCTGTTGCAGCGGTGACAAGGAGGCGACTGAGCCCAGGCTCTCGCTGACGGATGTGCTACGCCAGGGGGAAGCTCTGCTGGAAAGGTTGGGGGGTTTGGAGACGACGATTTCCGCTCCGTGGTCTGTTCGAGCCTTGGCCTTCTCACGGAACGTCAGCTTGTGAGATTCAATCTGCAGTGACACAAGGGCAGGTGAGAAGGGGAAGGGGAAGGAGAAGGAAAGAGGAGGAAAGAGGGGGACAGGAGGGGAACGGAAGACGATACCATAATGTCATCATTAGATGCCTGGAAAATAAAAGGCAATTTTCTGCATTAAAAGAAAGGCAAATCAACCCTACAGACATCGATACAAACAGTTCAAGGCTCAGCTTTACAGCGGTGTGACCAGTGCCCGGGGGGCGGCTGCTCTGCCCTGCTGCAGTGCTCTCCCCATCCCACCCGGCAGCGTGTGTAGAGAGAAGGCGCAGGCACTTACTTGTTTCTTGTATCTGAGTCTCGAAGCTCTGAATTTCCCTTTGGTCACCACCACTGAGGGCAGTGGGCACTGCCGGCCCTACGCCATTCTCCCGCATCTCACTGCCTGCCTGGGCCGCTGTCACCTCTCCGTTCTGAGGGGCTGGCGGGAGCTGCTCTGGCTCCGCGCTCCCCTCAGCCTACAATGAGACAACGGGGTGGGGAGGACGACAGGGACGAGTCAATAGAAGATGGGGGTGTGGGAAGGGGGGGGTGATGTGCGGGTTCCCGGAGCCCCCTCCACCCTCCCCAGTTGCCAAGGCACACGCAGGGATGGAGGGGGGTGGTGGTGTCTGGAAGCGGGAAGCAGCCCCTCCGCTCCCCGGGAAGCCACCATCCTGACCAGCTTTGCAGCTCTTCACAGCGTTTTGCTCCTTGCCAGCTCATCCAAGCATGGCCTAACCCTAACCCTGACCACAGAGGCCAGAGCAAGGCACCCTCTCCCCAAACACACACCTGTAATGCCCTGGTGACAGAGCGCAACCATGGCAAACGCAGACCAAGGCACGTTGGCAGGACTAAAGCAGAAGGCTATAGGGTCAGAAGCAAGCAGGTGGTTTGGGCACACTGCAGTGGAGCAGCTTCTATTATTTGCAGACACATTGGGGGGACCCAAAGAATACATAGTGGATCCCAAAACTGGAAGACCAAACTGTTTGCACAAAGGACGTCATCTTCACTTGATGCTGGACTATGAACTGGGAGCAGAGAAGTCTTTAGAGGAGATCCTGTCCTGCTCTGTTCTCCCAAAGCTGGTCATCCCACCTGGAGTCACCAACTTCTAGCCTTGGAGAAGAGCTAAGTGCTACTGCCACTAGAGAAGAGACTACTATGCTGGTGGGAGCCTCCTGAGAGTAATGCAGACTTGTTTGGAAACACACCACCGACACCGCAGGACATGGCAAGCAGAGAATATAGGATGCTGGCCCAGCCCCATTCCAGGAAGGAGCAACCCACCCAAACAGGGCAGCCCCTCACTGCCACGATCAGTACAGAGAAGTACAGTAGGAGGGGGCACCCTCCAGCCCAAAGGAGCTCTGCTCTGATCCCATGCTCTTGTCCCATAAAGCCTTATTCACAGGGAATAAGGGTGCTGCACTCTCCTTAGACTAAATCAGGCCCTCTCCCTGCATACCAGATAGTAATGCCACAGACTGATTCTGGACCTGCTTTACTCAACAAGCAGCAAAACCATCCCACCTTCCTTCTGAGGTTCCTTCTGATTCTGTGTGGATTGGACACTCCAGTGAACCGGAACAGGCATAGTGACAAATAGCTCCCTATCTCTGTCAACAGAGCAGCAGCTTCTCTGGTCCCTTTCAGCTTTTCACGGAGCCCCATTTGCCAGGTTGAAGTTTATAAAAAGGACTGGAGATAGGAGAGTCCTGATGGGCCTTCAGCAAATGTTCTGGCAGTCACCTCTTGCCTTGTTTTAATGGAGATGATTAAACACGTCCTAAATAGACTTGTGAATTCTGCTGCATGATCTGTTCTTTAGGAGAGGGATTATTTCTTTCAAATTCACACAGCATTTAACACAATAGCTCAAGATGCCTGAACTCTGAACCCTTCCACAACACAAATGTGCTCAAATGAAACAATGCTGGGGCAACAGAGGGAACTCAGTGCTTAGGAGGGCATCCTTATCCTCCCTCTGCCTATCCTGCTGGGAGCAAAGACTAAGTCAAATTTCAACAGTTCTGGTGCTGTTCACCAGATTGTTTTCTCCACTTCCAGAGCTGCCAGCCAATTCAGAAGCAGCAGTGCTTCATTTAAACCCCCCAGTGTTAGTGACTACCTAAAGAGAACCCCCAGCATTGCTCTGATCATCATGCGGCGTGATAGGTCGAGCCCACACATCCATCAGACGGTCAGCCAAGCGGGGTAATTTCCCTCCCCTAAGCACAGATGTTGCATTGCTGTAATGAGACCTGCGATTTGTGCAGCCAAGGCTGGGGGCAGTTGGTGTTCTCATGGGGAGAAGCGCTGAATCACAGCAATGAAAGCACAACAATACTTTCTTATCCTTGCACAAAAGGTCTTCAGGCTGAAAAGTGCCCCTGAGAGCTGCAAGGTGCTGTTTCCCCAGGTTTACTAGGGGTAAAAAAACAGGGAAAGGGTCACAAGAGGCTTCTCTGATGGGCTTACAGGTTACAGAGCGATCCCTGCTTTCAGCTTCTTAGGAGAAGGATGCAGATGGGCATAGAAGCTCTCTGAGTAACACCTTGCAGGGAGCCCACTCAGGTAAGCCACTGAGGTGGTTTATAGCTCCTTTTCAGCTCATACATACTCCTCGGGTTCACAACAGAGGCCACAGAAATAAGTGGATGGTTATAAAAGGCTGTGGGCAGAGAAGCGACAGGACAAGAACCACCACCAAATTTAAACCCTACCCTGACATGTGAGAGCTCACTGCACCCACCTTCACAGTTCCTCCTGCTGGCAAGTGTCCCACGTTGTCCAAAGAACCCACTTTGGCTTGGGCCTTCTCCTTGAAGTTCAGCTTCTGGTTCTCAATTTTGACATCTCCTCCCCCTAGAATAAGATTGTGTAGGAGTGAGTTTATTAATGCCTCTAGGAAAGTCCACCTGAGATCCCTCCCCTTCCCAGCCCCCCACCAAGGAATGGCTGGCTGGTTCCTTGTACTGTAGAGAGCCCTGAAGTTGCCCTCAGGTAAGGAACACCACACATCCAGATGGACAGGCTGGGAGATAGCCTCAGGTCAACTGTCTCACTAGATCTGACTGCCCCAGCAAGGGTGTGAAATACCACTTCCACTAGATCCCACACTGGTGGGATTCCAACAACTAATACCTGCTGCCCACTCCTATCTGTGTCCCTTGCCAAGGTCCCTTCCGGCCCAAACCACTCTGTGATTCTGTGGATGGACACTTCAGGTTCAGCAGAACATGAAGGTCAGGAAAACACCTGTAGATTTCTAGTGAGATTTTTCTGGATTTAGAATACTGCAGTTCCCAGACGGTCAGAGCAGTCCATATTGCAGCAGGTTTCTCAAAAACCACAAAGTATTGCTAAGCACAAATTTGCTTCCCAGTAACATCATCAAATACTCAGTCCTCAGCACTTTGGAAGCTTGGCATGGCCAACAATAGAAGCCAACTGATTCAGTCTAACAAAATCAGTTAAAACATCTGACAGCAGATGGGTGGATTAGTCTGCTTTAATCAGCCTTGGACAAGAGCAGTTATTGTTGTGCAGAGCCTGTTATTACAGAGCCTTGAATAAACAGAGGTCATGTTTGTGGCACCACGTTCTCAAAGCCTTAGCACGTTTGGAGGCAGTGAACCGAGGTGCTCAATGTGTAAGGCTGAACTGCTTTCAACTTAACAGGCTGGCAGAAGAGGTGCAGGAAACTCCTAGGAGCAGGCAAGCACAAGCTTGTAGCATGTTTCCAGCACTGGACAGTGCACATTGTCCCTCATGCATGGATGTTTGACTGCCAGGGGTTCTCCTGAGCAGGTGACTGTCCTCAGATACAGACAAATGAGCAAAAGTCAGTGAATTGACCATACTTTAGGATGCTACAGGAATTCACACAGAGTAATTGCTGTGTTCTCAGCGGGGAAGAAATAACTCCTGCACATTCATCCCATAATACATCATGAAAGAGCCCAAAGTGTTTTATGTAAGACAGAAGCTGCTACGGAACTGAAGGCTAAAAAGACCCTAGTATCTACTTGGAAGAACTGGAGGGGAGTTACTTTATCCTTCCATAGCACACCTATGTTCAGAGAGCCCCAAAGCCCTCTGTAAACAGATGAAGGTTTTGGCCATTCTGCACTGATGAAACCACTAGGAAGCAGCTAGCCTAGAAATACTCCCTGAGAGCAACAACCCCCTTCAACTATTTCAGTCACAGTCCAGGACTGTATTTAAGTGACATGTACTATCTACAGACAAATAGTGAAGAAGTGGTAGATTTTTTTACCTGGCTTATGCTTGATATTTGCTTTAGAGCCACACTTTGAGGACACTTTGGAAAGGTCAACTTTCTTGTTCTGGATCTGCACCTAAAGAGAAAACAAAAAGAAACAACTCAACACAGAGAAGCATTTCCCAGGATCTGGAATCCAAAGGGCCATCTCAAACACCGGGTCATGCTTAGTCAACCTGCACCCCTTTTCTACTGCATTATTGACTTCTCAGCCCCTGTGTGCCAAACACTGCAGTCAGCTGTAGCATTATTTAAAGGCCTGCACCAGCCAGAGCGCTTAACGTGAGCTAACAGAAATTAAGACCAGATAAAACTCACAGATGGACAGTAACTAGAAATGGCAGCCCTGAGTTCATGGCACATTCATGGAATATAAAAGCACTTTGGCCAAAAGAGCCGATTCCATTGCCATGTCCCCCAGACTGGTTCTTCCCAGCACTGGCTCTGCTCCTGAAGACACAGACTGTTGCCAGGGTCCAGTCACCAGGACGGATGTCATATTCCAGTTCACTCAGCCATGCTCTTCCTATAGGGCCAGAGACATGCCACCAATTCCAACTTCTACTCTCTACCATCTTTAACATGCAGATGACACATTTCTCATTGTCAGGCTGTTCGCAGCCTCCTCACAGCGGTCTTTCCTTCCTGCTGAGAACAGGACCCAGGAAGGAGCATCATGCCCAGATGGAACAAGCCACTCGAAGAAACTCTCTTTCTCAAAGACAAAACACCAGGAGCGGGGAAAGCTATTCCCCAGTATTATTACCTTTAATCTCATTCTACCAGTGACTCAATACTGGCACGCAAAGCCTTCAATTAGAAAAACCCAAACAATGTACAGTGATGCAGAAATCATGAGTCTCATGAAATCGTGAGACACGACTCAGTAAATGACCTTCTGACAAGTCAATGAGCCAAATATTCTAGTGTGGTGTCTGTGGACATCAGTTTGAACCTGGGGGGAGCTGTCTTCTCTGTGGCAAGACAAAGGTGCAGTCAAAATGTCACAGATTTGATGTCTCTTTTGCCCCCCCCCCCAAATTCATCTCTGACACCTGGACCACGAGCGTTGTACAGAGCCACATTTCTGACATCTTTAACATTCCTCCTGCAGCTCCAGGTGGATGAAAAACTCCTCTATTCCACAGTGAACTTCTTGCTGACCAGCTGGAGAGCTTTCATTTCATACAAACATAGGATAATTACACCTGAAGGAACTTCTGGTCATCTAGTCTACCTAGCTGACGTTGTGACCTTCCATGGGAAAGAGCTGGAGGGGTTTGGTAGTAATGTTAAGAGGTTCACCTCTTGCAGTGGTGTCAGCAACCACCAGCTGGCACCTCCGTGCACAAAAAGTTCTGCTATAGATCATCTTGCAAGGAAAATGGAAACCTTTCTGAATGTGACAAGAATTCATTCACTTACCCGCTATTCTAAAAGCTCATTGAGAATTACCATGATAATTTGCAATACATCTTTCACAGGAAGCATGAATCCTCTGAGTTCTTATGACGAGGGATGAGTCAAAACCCTGATGTCTTGTTTGCTCAGAATCAGTAGAACAGCACAGGTCAGCCTCCTGCTGTTCCATGTTCGTGTACCCTGATTCAGTGACACCAGACACTCCAAAAGGTGAGATCACAGCTACAAAATCTGATTTTCTTGGAGCTCCTAGTAAAGTGACTACAGCTTTTATAATAAGTATTTGTTTACTTGGAACTGGAATAAAGCTGAATTTATTTCACAGAATGCATTTTAATACAACAATGTTTGCTATCAGCTAGGGCAGACATACCCGCTTATGACTGCTCAGGATTTCACCTGGACATCCAAACAATTATACCTAAATGCAAGTGTATTTCTTGTAAGACTGCTAACATTAGTTGTTTTGGGTTTAAAAGCTTGGCCTTGCATCTGTAGAGCCAAATACTCAGACTGATGCCAGAAATAAACTTTAGGTCTGAAAGCTTGATACAGAGACTCAGATGGGAAGCGTGATCCTCATCTCCCTCTAGATTTTCTGTTTCTGACCACTTCCCAACTCATCTAAGTAGGTCCAGCAAAAGGGCAGAGAAACATATGCATGTTCCAAATCACCTTTTTATAACTTCAACAACATATATGTTACCTGTGCTTTGTAAAATCTACCTCTTTACATTTGCTTTCTTTAAAAAGAGAGGGGGAAAATACTAAAACAAAAAGCTTTTACCCAGGGAACCTAACAATATGTCAAGATATTGCTGGCAAATATAATGTGAGTAGGAACAGTACCTACTGCTTTTGAACAAGTCCTTTTGAGTATCTTAAAGGGGAGAAGAAACTACCTCTGTGGATATCAGGCAAAACGGGTACCCAAACAGAGTGTACCACCTAGGAAAACATTTCACTGCAGTAGGATGTCCATCACTACTATCAGAACAACCCTGAAGCTGAATCATAATTTGCTACTAACCACAGCTCTTGTCCACAGGATTCCTAAAATCTTTTAACTGAAGCCATAGACTAGAACAATGGATTTTCCAGACATCTCCATCAGCAGTGTGCTTCAGGAATTAAACACTGGGAAGTATTCCATCAGAAGTGATCACTGTAATTATCTGAACAAGAAAACATCTTGAAAGAAGACACTAATATTATGGTGCCCCAAAGGGAGCAAGCAGATATAAAAATGAAGAAAGTGCTTTTATAGGAAGCCAGACTGGTCACTGTGTCTTGTCTCCTCACACTGGTGCTGCCTGTCCTGGGCTTGGGGGCATTGGAAGGCTGAGAAATGTCTGAAGCTGTTTTGGGGGCATTTGGAACTAGGAAATAATAAGCACTTTATTCCCAAAGCAAAAAGCTTATGTAGTTGAGCAAAGAGAAAAACTACAGTGGTAAAAGGAGGGTGTGGGAGAAAATGAAAGCAGGCACACTTGTCCCTTAGAGTTGGCAATGTCCCCAGGGCAGGACAGTAAAGAGGAAAGGATGAGTTTGGTGATTCATTGGAAGGAAGAATAGTTTTCACATGTGTAGTTCATCAAGCAAGAAAACCATCCCCACATTGAAATCACATCTTTGTTGGACTAAAAAAGAAAAAATAAAAAAAAGAGGAAAAATATGTGTGAGTTGTTGCCCACTAAAAGACTATAAAAGGTAAGAGTGGCAAAATTAAAGTGGCTTGTGAAATACAGCTCTTTTGAGTGCATGAGCAGTGAGGTTACAACAGCTGTTCGTTAACAGCAGAGCCAAAAGGACTTCTGCTACAAACCCCATATTACGTACAAACAGTCTGTGTTCCAAACCTGGGTGACGAACCCAGATGAAATCTGCAGTAGGAACAGAAAGATATGTAGCTAAAAAAATATTATGAGGGCATCTGATGTGATGGTGTCAACATCGGTTTATCTTTCTATGGCACAGAGAATTCTGCTGCACGAGCATTTCTATGGGAAGGTCTACAGACACGTGTATGCATTCCTGTAAGTGTTGGATAAGTCATGGAAACACCAAATAAGATGGCAAATCCCACCACTGTAAGAATCCACAAACTGGAAGGGAAGGAGGGTATCAGGGATACATGCTCAGCAACTCTCAATGGGAAGTTAAGATTAGTTAAATGAACACTTCATGTGTGACTTCAACATCTGTCTTTTACCACCTTGGAAACCAGCCTGCAGGGAACGAGTTTGGCAAGAACCCAGATTTGGTTGCCTCTTGCAAAGATTTATGGAAGATTTGGTCATGTAAACGTTCAGCCAGCTAGACAAATACACAGATATTTCATAGGGCAAATGGCAGTTTACAGCACAGGCAGGTTCTACGTAGCTTTTGTATCCGTTGAACCAGATATCAAACAGAGCACACTAAGTCACAACAGTGTCTGGCCCCAGAAACAGAGTATTTGCAGGCAGTTTCATTGATACTGGCTCTCAGTCACTGGGCACAGAGAAAGCCACACCGGTAATACTGAGTTCAGTTTTGGTCCCCGCTATACAACAAAGATGCAGACAGACTGGAGAGGGTCCAGAGAAGAATCACAAAGATCCAAGGACTAGAAAACTACGTGAGCAAAGGCTGAGAGAACTGGGCTTGTTCAACCTACAGAAAAAGCAGGTAAGGGGAGACCCTATCACCATGTCCCAGTATTTAAAGGGTAGATAAAAAAATAACAGAGACTCACTCCCTTTTTACAAGGAGTTACATGGAAAAGAGGAGTGATGGGCACAAGTTACTCGCAGGGAGATTCCTACCAGACACTAGAGGAAAATTTTTCTCAATGAGAACAATTAGCTGGAATAATCTGCCCAGGGAAGTGGTAGATTCCTCAGTGTTGGACACTGTTAAGATTTGGCTGGGACAGGGTGTTGGGCCATTTAGTCTGGGTCATGCTTTGCCTAGAAAGATTGGACCAGATGATCTTTTGAGGTCCTTCCAAACTGTATTTTGGTGATTCTATGAGATGCGATAGCTGAACCTCGCTCCACAGGAACTTGGCATATTTAAACATCAATGGAAGAAGCTTCCTTGGGCTTAAGTACTTCATTGTCTTTTTGAAACCATCCGATCTTCGTACTTCTGCACACTATCCCCAGTACAAACAGCCTATCACAGACCTGTTAAGGTAGTACAGATTTACTCACAAGGAAACAAGCCTGCCAAACTATGTCATATTTTCAAAAGCTATAGTATCTGCATATTTAACCTGGTTGGTTTTGCTAGACGCTTTCAAAATATAATACCCTTCACCAAGTACAGAGACATTACACCATCGGCCTTCTATTTTAAAAAGCACAACGCTGCTGCCAGAGGTACAGTAGCCTTTGGATTTAGAAGTTAACTGCAGCTCAAAGATTAAATCCCTGAGTCTTCTCCTCCTTTTCCCCCCAGAGTGTCCCTTCTTGTAAAACACAAAGTGAAATCAATCTGACTCAGGCCCTATTAGCCAGTGAAGAGTAACAGGCACTTCTAGGCCGCAGTGGATTTCATCTGAAAAAACAGGACATCTGAAACAGGTCAGAGGACTGATGAGGTGCCTCCATCGACTGCAGAGGGTACCCACAGCAAGCTAACTCCTGGGGTCAGTGGTGTGCACGTCCTACATTTGGTGATGAATAAGTAACATATAGGACGTGAGATACAGGTCAGGTGTATGTGTAGTACTCAGAAACAAAACACACACATTCACCCTAGCATCCCACTGGGAAAAAATAATAAAGAATTCTCCAGCCTACATTAATTCCAGAAGCCCTGAAACTCTGCTACACCTTTCTGACTGAAATAAGAGCGTTCTTAAGACTGACATAAAAAAACATAGTACAAGAGAAGGAGTTAGTAGAAAGACAACTTGCCCAGAGCCCATACTTACATTCCCACCTCCAGGGACATGCTTAATATTGTCCTTGGAACCACACTTGGACTGAACATGGCTGTAGTTCGCTTTTTTGGAGACTATCTGGACCTGGAATGTTACAGAATGGAAAACAACACAAGGGAAGAGGACTGGTTAGAGTTGTCATATGGCAGGCTGGAGTGGATGCTCTAACATGGTGGATAAACAAAGAGTTGTGTTAAACTCAATCCAACTTTAGTATTAGGTGTGAAAGCAACTGAGAAGGAGAGTGAGGAAAAACAAGTGAATGAAACAAGAAGCTGCACAGACAGTGTTAGTGCGAGAGCTTAAGCGCTACTGTGAAGACCGCTTCTTCATACGATCTGTGGGTTAGCATCTCCAGGTAGGAGCCTGCCTGCCAGAAGGGCTGGGGTTGTCTCTGTCCCCTGCAAAGCTTCCCAGGAGCTCTCTGGTGAGACCTTTCTCAGAGGAAGGAGAGCCAGCTCAGCTATCGCCTTCCTCCATGGCTCCACCTCCAACAACACTATAAACTGCTCTGAGCCTGCACTTTACCTTCACTTGGCTGGACTGGCTCCAGTCTTGGGTAATGTCTTTCAAACCCTCTGGGCGGCAGATGAGAAACTACTCTTCTGATGAAGGTTGTCAAACCTTCACTTAAATTTTATCAGATGAATCTTATGTTATTTGCTTCTCCTTTAAATCAAAATTATTCTGTTTCAAAGTACAAAAGGAGTAGGCTAAGTGAGCTTTTACTAACAAAGGCAGCAAACTGAGTTAGAGGCCCATGTTTACAAAGGTTAGTTACGACACACGTTTAGTCTGGGCGTTATTTAACACAGCACAGAACGTGGCAGAAGCTGTATCCTACTTCTAAAAAGAGGTGATAAATTTGAAGCACAAAAGGAATCACCAGAACATTCTCACTTCAGCAGGTTTCAAAAAGCTCCTTAGCCAGTTCAGAAACACTGGATTCAGTGCAACAACAGCTCTGAAAACGTACTCATGCCGTGGAATAGATTCTGGTTTCCTGACTTCTCTAGAGGTACAAGTTCCATCCATTCATCAACAGGCTCTGCCTGATAATATCTGAATTAAACGAGCACTGCAGGCACTCTCTCCTCATTCCTCATTCTCTCATGCTGAAATACCATGTCACACCAGCTTCAGAGTAACTCATCAGAATGTGGCCACCTAATGCATGGAGTTAAGGAGTCTTGATACAACCAGGTTGGAAATATTGCAGGAAAAATACTAAGCCCTTGTTAGTCTGCAATTGTAGAACAGGCAGCGTTGAACTAAAGCTCGCTCTTCCTAGTTACAAACTAGTGCTGTGTATGAAGAACTGGTCTGAAAGGAAACCTCTGACTCAGAATTCTTCCCTGTGAGGGTGGTGAGGCCCTGGCACAGGTTGCCCAGAGAAGCTGCAGCTGCCCCATCCCTGGCAGTGTTCAAGGCCAGGTTAGATGGGGCTTGGAGCAACCTGGTCTGGTGGAAGGTGTCCCTGCCCATGGCAGGGGGTTGGAACTGGATGGGCTTTAAGGTCCCTTCCTACCCAAACTATTCTAATTCTATGATTCTATGAAAGTTAAGCTATCTGCCTAAAAGTGAGAACACAGGACACTGCTCTGAACACCTTTACACACAACAGGCATGGAAAAGATACCTCTGACAGTGATCTCTGAACGTGTTTAACTGAGAACATTGTAGAGTTTACAAGAAAAAACTGGAAGAGTGTCTGTGCAAGGAACGGTGACACTGACAGAAGAAAGCAGAAGAGTTGAAGAGAAGGGAAAGTGACTCAAAATGGAAATGTTGTCCTTCATCTCCCACAGAGAAAAGTCTGAAATAAACTCACTTTCCCATTGGGCTGTTTTGGGGCACCCTCTTTTGATACAGTTGTTTTAGTAGTAGCCATTTTAGAGACCACATTGGGTTCAGACTTTCGTGCAGCAGCGGCTGATTCTGGCCTTTTCTCTATTTTCCCCTAGATGGAGACAAATGGATGATTTCAACCAGCAAAAGCAAAACTGTGGGCAGGGGAGTACAGGAACACAAGCTATCCAGATAAACTCGGTGGAGCAGATGACATAGGAGAACTTCTTACATGCTGTAATTCTCAGGCAAAGTATAATCCTGTGCCCAAGAACAATAAAACTAAGGGGGTGGAAGGGAGGCAACATCACTCAGACACAGATTGAAACGCACCACGGGGTCACAAAGCAATAATTAAGCTCTCCATTTCTCAAAAAGCTTGTCGATGCCCTTCCTTGGCACCTCATTTCCCCAGTGGTCACACTGGCAAGTCTTCAAGTGACCCCAGTCCATCATATTCTGCCCAAAAATTACAACAAATCCTTTAGTAACCCAACAGCAGCGCAGGACAGCTCCTTCACAGGGAGGATGTTGTACAGATCTGAGAGGCAAACACACACCACTGGCTGATGTTCTTTGCCTTAGAGGCCTGAGAGCTCAGCTGGATACAGATACACTGTGCTTCCTTTTCTGATTTCACACCCCCACACCGATTTGACTCAGGCGTTGAGATCAATTTCTGATACAGTTTTTAACTAACCAAATGCCAGTGGACCTACTAATCCAGCTAAGCAGAAAACTGAATGAAAACATCCAGGGTTTAGAAAAATTCAACAACTACCTGAGAATATCCGTTCTTCTACTCATCTAGATCCATATAAGTGCAGCAGAACCTGCATTTCTTGGGGGGAGTGTGAGGGGTGTGCGTATCAGTATAAATTCTGTATTTCACTAGCCTACCAGCAAAAGAACAGGAAACAAAAAACCCCTAGCACTTCTATGACATTTTCAGCTTCTAAAACCATCTCAGCATAAATAAGACTACAAAAAGGACCATTTTCTTGAAAGTACAATTGTTAGGATTTAACAATTCCATTAAAACACTTAGAAAGTAAAGTGTAGTACAATTAAATGTAAAAATAAATTCCCTTGAACTGCCACAATAACCCTGTAAGCTAAGAAGCTCTGCAATCCTCAGAGCCACTAGCACAGTTTAAAATAACGGAACAATCCTCTCTATTCTTTTTGAGCAGATGGCAGTAGGCTTTCTTAACTTCTGTTTGCTTTCAACCTACACTATACAGTACAGGAAAGGGTCTCCCTCCTGCTTCTCAGCAGACTTTTTTGTCATTTATAGAAACTCCATTTTGAAGAGTGGAAGTTTCTGTCCTCTAAATGCCTAGGCTCTGAGGACTGTACTATGATACTCTTTAACTCCAAAGAATAAATCCATGCTATATTGATGCTGTCTGTGACATACACCACCACAGCCCAAGGATGCCCTTGACTTTAATGTGCCTGAGAGGAGATTAAGGCTCCCAGCATGAGCCATACTCTCTTGGCATCAGACTGAAGTTATTCATTATCACAGACCTGCAGCAGAGATAAGTGGGCAAATCTGTTCCACTCTGTGGAAATTAAAGCCCTCTGACTATGGGCAAGCTGCTAACATATTTGGTCAGGCAAAAATGAGTGTATCTGTTATACAATATCCAATAAAGATTTTGTGATTATGCATATCCACAAAATAATTTAAACCCTCAGAAGAGAGATACTGGTATATCCCTAAACCTTTACCATTTACATGGTAGATATTCACAGTGAAAGTGTAATGTAAGACCCTTACTGATTGAGAGCCTCAAGTACAATGCTTCTCCCTATAGATCATTCAACACCACCCTCTTCTTTTCCTGCTGCCACCAGAGCTTATCCAAAAAGCCACATAGAGAGATACATTTCATTTCAGCTTTAGCCCTGACAAGCTGAAGAGCTCCCCTGCTCCTAGACCTGGAAAAGGTGCTGTGGAACTTGCTCCTGAATCCAGATTTCCTGCATTGTAGTGCATTAATCCACCTTGTGTACCATTCAGCAGATTCAAATCCTCTGTTCAGGCAAGGTTTTGGAATATAGACAAGATTTTGAGCTGTCAATACCAACTAGTTCCTATGTCAGGAAGTACAACAGAAAAACAGAACCACAGAATGTTGAAATCCTGTACGTATGGCAGTAAACACCGTGAAGGCTCTTAATTAAAGTGGATTCCTTCTGTACGCTACTATCACTGCTTTGTTAATGCCTTGTGCATAAACCAAGAACCCAAAGAAGAGCTCTGCAGAGCATAAATGAGAAGAGCAGTGAGGATACAGCCACCAAAATTAGCAAAGAGCACCCCTAATGCTTAAGAGCTACTGTTCCAATGCACACGTTGCTACCAAGTTTAAAGAAACTCACCTTTCCTCCACCAGGCTGATGCTTAATGTTGTCTGTTGATCCAATTTTGGAACGTACATTTTTCAGATCTGGAGCAGAAGCACTGCTGGTCGGGCGAGGTGGCTTGGAAGCGCTGCTGGGTTTAGCTGGAACCTTAGCAGTTGGTTTTTTAGCATCTGCTGTTGTGGTAGAGGTTGTGGTGGGTTTGGTTGCAGCAGGCTTGGGTTTGGGACGACTGGTGGCTACTCCAGGTAAAGTAGGTGCACTGGAGGAGGTGGTAGAAGTGGTGGCACTGCTTTTGACTGCATTTCCAGTAGCACTTTTAGGGCGGCTCAAGTCTGCTGCAATGATCACAGCCATAGTTGGAGGGAAGGGGGAAAAAGATAGGTCAGAGGCCATTTATACAAACTTCCTCAGAGTCCTAAAGTTGTACAGTGGCCTGCTTAACCAACACAGCCCCTAACAGGAGGATTTGATTTAGATGGAAACTGAACAGTTACCTGATGGTGACTTTGCAGTGGTCTTCTTGGCATCTGCAGGCTTTGCATCAGTCTTGATGGCTGCCCAACACAAAACACACTTGTCAGTATTTCAGAGTGGAAGCCATTTTGCACAGATGAGACACCTGGGGTCACGCAGCCTCCCCTGAGGTTAGGGTCTCTCTGCAGCTCCTCACAGACCAATGGTCCTCTCTATTCACAGGCCCCATTTCAAATATAATGCTTGGAAGAAAGAATTAACTGCTTTCTTCAAACACCTGGCTGAGGTTCTCCTTGTAACAGTAAATCCCACTCATGCTTTCCAGTAAAAAGATCTATTTATCTAAAGAATCATCACTCAATGATGCCACACACCTGGGGTACAGCTTGCATTTCATAGAATCTAGAATCTCAGGTTGGAAGAGACCTCAAGGATGATCTAGTCCAACCTTTCCTGGCAAAACACGACCCAAGACTAGACGGCCCAACATCCTGCCCAGCCAAACAATAAAAGGGGATTCTTTTTTAATTATAATTTCTTTAAAATATTTTTTTAGAATAACTTGCTGAATCAGACAGCAATAAGATTATTTTAATCTCACTGCACTTCGATTTCTTTAAAAAAAAAACAACCCAACCAAACAACAAACCAGCCCCCAAAACACAACTCCTTTCTTTACCAAATAGCAAAAGCAGAACCCCAGTTGTCCTTCTATAACCTTGGTCTCATTGCTAGATCAGTTCTAACCCATGCCAATTTTTCTTGCACAGAAGTTACTGCACATATTTTGGTCCCTATTATAATTGTATAAGACCAAAAATCAATCACTAAACTAAACTACGCCTTTGGGCAAACTGCAATGATCATGACCTGATTACATTTCACATAGGTAGAGGACAGTGCAAACCAGGAACACATCTGTATTTCTCAGAGCAGAAGAAAACTACACACAGAATTCATCATGACAAAGAACACACACTGAAAAATGTAGCTATAAACTTATTTTAAGGAGTTCTTTGATAATTCAGTTGTAGCTTTTTACTATTAGTAATGAGCAACTCTGGCTAAAATCTGTTTCACTTCAGTAGCTAAAGAAACACAATGTTAAAAGCAAACAATAGGTGTAAAAATCTGAGTTACAAATTATGAAACCCTCTGTCTTCTAATACTTAATTTTCATTAACAGTCTCAGATTTTTAGATAAATCCAAGTAGCTGTCAGGGTACTTTACAGAATACCAATATAAAATAGAGCAAGCGAAAGAGGCAGATACCTACAGGCCAAGTTAGCATGGATCACTCTATTCTGACTGCTAAAAGCATTCAATTAAACACCACAGATAAGATACTAGCTAATGAGATGAAACACATTTGGATAATTTAATAAGGCCTGGAGGATAGATATATAATTAATACCAAACACTTCAAAAAAGGTCCTGTCAAACCAACCTAATCTCATTCCTTGAGACCACAGTTTTAATTGGGAAAACTGTACGGCTGGAACAGACTGTTTTATGTAAAGGCAAGAGGGCTAATACATTACTTTAATATAGAGATGTCACTGCTACTTGTGTCAGTGGGGAGCCAAATACTGGAACATTTTTGTCTGTGTTATTAGCATGCGAGGTTGAAAACATGGAGAATGATAAAGCTACTGGGAAAATGGTTAAAGACTTTGATCTTCTGATCTGAAAGACAGAGAGTTGGTCCTGTACAAACATAAAAGTAATTTTCACAAGGAGAGGAGGAAACTAAAAAGAAATAAATATTTTTAATTAAACAATAATAATAATTAAAAAATCACGCCTTACATAGTCCATGACACTCATTCATTAGAGAGTGACTGACATTTAACATCTAAAAAAGTGAAACCGTATTATTTCAAAACAAATCACTATACACGTATTTTTAAATAGTGAGAATGACTAAACATCTGAGCACACAATGACAAAGCGAGTATCTTTTGACACATGAAAAGCAAGAGCAGATGGCCTTCTGAGATCCCATCTTTAGCCAGAAACATAAAATCTGGCTTAATGCAGTGTCACGAGAAACTAAACTGTGCTCTGAAGCGATCCAGGTCTCCACCACCTCCATCTATGCATCTAGCTGAAGCTGGATATGCTCCACCTAAACTGAACTGTGTTTGGCTCATTGTGATTCCCCTTTAGACACCCCAACTCTGTCACACCACTGCTTTCTCCTCATCCAAAATAAGGCTCCCTTCTTTTACCATTCATGACTCCTCTGTGTTTCCAGATTCAGACAAAGCAGCTTTAGCTCCTGACAGAGTTTCTCCAGCTGACCTCATCTCTCCCTCGCCCACCCAGTTCTCACTGTACTTTGGCAACGTCCCACCACCCTCGCTGGTGCAGAAGCCTCTTCATCTGTACATCTTGCCACTTGGAACACCCTTCCTGCCTCTCTGCATCATTGACTCCATCTCTTTTCAAATGTTATCAGAAAATGCTTCTTTGTTTGTGCCTCAATTTTGGAAGGAAAATTAACCAAACTCATTAAAAGATATTACGCATTCTGGGCTACAGTTTGCCTAAAAGACCACACAATGTATTTTACAAGGATGTCCACAGGATCAGTGAAGATCCATGGCTTTTGGAAGGTGCAACACTTCCTCCACACTTGATTAATTATAACTTCCCCTAGAGCACAACGTATGGAATGTACATCTAGCCTGATATATTCCAACATAGTTAAAACATTACTATTCTTTTGGGAAAGATGGATTATGAATTCATGCTTTGGGACTCATAGAACAAAACAGCAATACATATTACTAGTTTTACGTGCTTATTGGCAAATTTTGCCAATGAGGTCTAGCCACTGGAAAAGACTTGAGCTTATTTAACTATATTTTAATCTGACATTAAATCTCAAGCTCCCGTGAAAACTACATTTTCAAGATGCTAATATGCTGCTGATGTTTCACACTGACTGTGTTAAACTCATGGGAAGTTCTCTCTTTTGGAGTGGGACACAGTTTTCTGACAAAGCTGATGGTGATTTCAGCTCCAAATTCTTTGTGTACTAGTAAAAAGCCTCCACTTCTGTTTAACCTTATTTGTTCTTCAGATGCACTAGCTTGAGTACTTCAAGTTCTCTTCTGGAGATTTGCTTTCCCCAAGTTTTAAATTGGTTTTAGTGCTTATTGTAACTGTTACTATGGCAAAATTTAGAGGAAAAAGCATCCTTTTTCTTTAATCAACCACATTCAGCAATTGCATTAACCCTGAATCACGCAGAGCTGGTCCAAGTTGTCCTTGAAGGTCACTTGGATCTGTTTTTGAAGAAGGAGGCCCTAAAGAGGAAAAAAATATCTGACCTATGGTCTCTGTGCCTTGGCATAGAATCTTGTCTTGTGTTGTATTAAAAGGATTGATGTTTCAGCTATCACTGAGTTTCAGGTCAACTCCTGACCGACAGGCAGGCCAGGCTACACCTCTCAGAAGTACTGGTTAACAGAGCTATGGCTTCTCATAAATAGCTACATGTCAAGGTTGGGTTTTTTTTCTTTTTTCTCCTTTTGAACCTGAAGATCACAAGCTCGTTTACCAGGAGACTAATTTTAATAAACTGACGAGGCCATAGGATGCCCTAAACACAGGAAAAAGCAGTCAGCACCCTGGAATATGTGAGAAAGACATCACAGAGTGAACTAATGGTGCTACTCAAACAGAAACCTGCAGCTGGTTAGACAGAAAGATCCCTTAAAGAAAAACCAAGACAATACTTACATGTTGGCCTCTTCGGTGGAGAAGTAGCAGTATTTTTCACAGCAGCAGTTGCAGCAACTGGTGATGCTGCCGTTGTCTTGGGAGCAACAGGGCTGCTCCTAACAGTAGTTTTAGAAGTGGCAGTTGTCGGAGGCTTTGAAAGTGAGGTCCTCCTATCTGTGGTCTTCGCATCTGCAACCTGAAAACAATCAGGCTACATTAAAGGCAGTATTTCACTGACAGTATCTTCAAAATGTTTGCCAACAAAAAGCCTGAAATAAATTGAAATTGTTTAAATTCTTAAATGCATAAGCTAGACGCTGCTGGAACAGTATAATGCAGATTAAAAAATATAATTAAGGCATGCAGAAGTGACTATATTCAATGCAGGTCACAGAGCACAAACCCTGCTGAGTGTCAGAATTCCCATAATTTCAGAATTAATGTCTGGAGGCCATTTACAGATGTGAACAAGGCTCTGTTTTCAGAACAAAATGGAAAAGATCAGTCCACTAGCAATACTTTTGAGAGATTTCTTTTCTTCGTGAGTAGAAATGCTTCTTAAGTGAAGGAGGCATTCACTAAAACACTGTGAACGTAACTGTGGTTCATTCCGCAGTTGGAAAACTCTTTCATGTCTGTCCCTGGAAAGTCTCCTGTTCGTAAACTGACTGATCTTTGAATTATTAAAATACTGAGTTAATGTACAAAACCAAATGAGATGAGATTTTGACTTCATCAAAAAGGGATTCAAAATCCTGCAAAAACTTAAAGACACTGGTTCACAGAAAAAGTGCAGATTTATGCCTGTGCTTTCATGCTCTTTGTTATTTTCATTTATTTAGTTTTAAGACACTCAAATGCAGTTATTTAAGCTTTAATGTCTAGCCGAAATGCTAGAGCATGTAAACATCAACTGAAAGCTTCTGAAACATTTTCACATTCCCTTTCAAATTGAATTCTTTTTCTTTATAATATCACACGTTAATGTGGGGAATATTCAAGGGACATTTCCTGCTCTGAACATCACATGTTAAAGAGTAAACTTCATTAGCTTTAAGATGCAAAACTAAGAACTGTCCACAAATCTGCTCTTATTGGAAAATTACAAATCTCCAGTATTTCCTAAGCACGTAAGTGTATTATCAGCTATCTTTGTACAGTTTTTATAATGACTGGACATCCTAAAGAGACAGTAAGTGGGAAATAAAGAAATGTTCAAACTGATTCCCCCCCCCAATAACAATACCGAAGCTCTCCATTCAGTTTTCCCATGCTCTTGTCTGGATTTAAGAGTTATCCTACCTTTGTAGTGTTATCTGTATTTAAAAAACCCTCCTCTTTTAGTAATGGGTAGAAATCACAAAATCAGAGTAGATTGGGTTGGAAGGGGCCTTAAAGCTCAATTAAATGCTTGGGACCCTAGGCCATAAGTGGGTTAATGGAAGCTGATACTAACAACAGTGAGGGTTTCATAACACCATGAATCACATTCCTGATCTTATCCTCCAATGATCAGCACTCCAATAATGTTTTGACTCTTTGGTAAGACAGCTGGTAATTTAACATGTAAATAAGTTCTCGGGGCTCCCACACAAAAGCAAGTAGTTTCTTACCTTTGGTTTAGTCTCTTTTGGAGCTAGGGTGGAGGGACGTGTAGTGCTGGTGGCTGGGCGTTTAGTAGTAGTGGCTGGAGTAGGACCTGCAGTAGGGCTCGTGGGTTTTTTGTTTAGGCCAGGGGTGGCAGAGGGTGGCCGCTTGGGGCTGGTAGCGGACAGGGGCCTGGCTTTCGTTGCTGCAGGCTTTGTAGATGACGTGGATATGGCAGGCTTTATGTTTTATCAAAAAGCAAAATCCAGTATAAAGACAAACAAAAAATACAACAAAAAAAAATAGCGCATTGTAAACCAAAACACTGAGCTGCAAGAACATAAAAAAGAAATTTTAAATGAAATATCAACAAAAAAAGTTTAGCTTTCTGTTTTCTGAGCATAACAAAGACCAAATGAAGCAGCAGAAGAGGCTGCCTTCAGGGCCCGGGGAGGCTTTGCCATTCAATTCAAAGCGAACAGGATTTATTTCAGCAACAGCTAAAGCAACATAAGGAATCACTGGTAAAGCTGGGATTAGTAATCGGTTGTTCTGGCATCTAGTCCTACGTGCAATACACGGGACACTGCTTTCCAATTACATGCACACAGGGATTGCAAGCTCTAAATCCTCATCTGATCAACTCTAGTGGTCAAACATCCGCTGCCTTTGAGGGGACCCAGAACCCTTTCCCCCTACCAGCGCTCTAAGAATTTGGAATTAGATTTTGCTGAATGCTGCAAGCAGGTATTATTCATGTTTCATAAACAGCCCTAAAATAAGAGAACATCAGATCCTGAGCAGCATCTCTGCATGCTAACTGTAATGCAAATAAATGTGTTGTAAACAACTAGGAGAGTACCCGTGTAGCAGAAGCGTTGCCATACATGTTTACTACTTCTATACCAACCAAAGCATTAATTTAAACAAAGCTTACCACACATTTACTAAATCCCCTCTCAGTCACATTTATTACAGTCTTTGTTGTTTGCAACTTCATAACTGGATGTCTTTGTTCCAGGAAAACAGTTCGCAAATGGCAGCTCAGAAAACAGAACTTGTGTTGCCACAGCTTAAGAAGCAGAAAAGCCAGCAAAAATAAAAACCATGGAAACAAAGATGTTGAATGTGAAACACCTACCTTTGTCTTCTTCTCAGGGCTGGGAGGAAGCTCTTTGTTGGGAGGTGCTGTGATATCATTCCCTGTCACAGCTTCAACTGGTTTGGTCTCTTCTAATTTTGCTGGGGATAGGGAAAAGTAAAGGAAGGGAGAGTTTGTAAGTTTGAGCCTTTTTCTTTTATTTACCATGGGTTTTTTTTTTTTTAGTTTACTGTTATTCAAGACAGTAGCAGGAGGAGACAGACCTAAGACAGGCACAGGTTGGCTGTTTCTGGAAAATTTTCCCCAAACCCAGAATACCTGCAGGAAGAAAGATTTTCCCTGTAACAGGTTAGGTTCATCCACATACCATTAGCATCCAATTTCTCATATTCCAGGGAGAAAAGACAGCAGATGAAGGAAACCTCTGGTTTTATTAAAATAGCAAACTTCCCCAGCTTTCAAGTTATTAAAATAAATTGTTGGAAAATTAATGGTGAAGTTCTGAGCTCTTCCAGGTTTTACACTGTGTCTTAGTCTGATACAGGGCACTGTTTTCAAGCTCTCCCTACTGTTACGGCTGTTTCTTCTTGTCCTTTCTTCTGTCCCTGTGCTGCAGCTCTCCATGAGCATAGGGAATTACCCAACAGCCAGAGGGAGTCTGACTGCTAACAGGAAAGGTCACACAGGAAAGGACCACAAGTGTGGATCATACTGACCCTTGTTAGTGTGGAAACCATTGTGTTATGCTGCTGTATGCGGTGTTTCAGAGCAAAGCTTAGATTCAGGCACAAGACTTGTCAGGTTTTCACAGTGATTGTTCATTTTTGTCACTGCCACCAGAGGTTGTCATGCTGAACAGGGACAGGGAACACACAGACTGGACTGGGAGCAGCCCTGAGGAGAAGGACTTGGGGGTGCTGGTCCAGAAGAAGCTCCCCATAACCCAGCAGTGTGCGCTTGCAGCCCAGAAGCCAACCATGTTCTGGGCTGCACCACCAGTAGCATGACCAGCAGGCTGAGTGAGGGGATTCTCCCCTTCTACTCTGCTCTTATGAAACCCTACCTGCAATCCCAACATAAGTACATGGAGCTGTTGGAGCGAGTCCAGAGGAGGCCATCAAGATGTGATTCTCCTAACAGTAACACAGTAGCCACAAAGGCTTCCTCAGCTCCTTTTACATTGTCCAGCCATAAGCAGAAGGATAACTACTGCCTTCCAAAGCAACCATACAACAAAACATTAATTCAGTAGCAGCTTCACCAAGTTTTCTCCTTAAACCTAATAAACCCTGCAGTAGAACTGCCACACTGCTTTGTGCCATGAGACGGGCAAGAGACAATTTCCCTATAAATAGCTTTTAAAACACTAATTCTCAGCGGTGTTGCTGTATAGCTGCACTGCTATGAGCTGCCTCCTGCAGCAATTCCAGCAGCATCTGAATTTTATGATGGATATGGTGCAAATAACCCATCACAAATCTATCCCTTGTCATCTTGGGATTAAAATAAAGCGTTATCTGTGTTGGATGTTTCTTTTTATAACAACACAACAGATTATAATGCTGCGGCGCACAGTAAGGGCCCACGAGACAATAGTGTAACAATTCCAAGAGTAAAAAGGCTGTTCTCCACGTCTTTTGAAAATTACTATTTATATTCCCCATTTTCTTGCTCGTCAGCCTTGAAGGAAGCATCTCAGAGGACAGTTCAATTCTGGTACAAATGCCCAGCTGAAACAAGCAGAATAAAATAAAATCATGCCTTCTGCCTGACCCAGCGATGCTCAACAGCAGGATGGTTTTCTTCTTGTTATTTCTTTTTCTGACTCCAGGACAAGTTTAGAATCCTTTTTTCCTATTGCAATAACCTCTTCCTAGCGATTTAGCTTCCAAGTCGTATTAAGTGTTTGGCAACATAGCATTTCGTATCCTGTGCATACAAAAAAAAGACTGTCCAGACACTGATTTTAGTGCAAAATTCCGAATAATCAGTCATATTCACCTAGAAAGCCCATTTTTCTGCAGCTAATCTGTATTTGGTCCTCTGTACCAGTTTTCTCTGCTGTATTTCAATAACCTTTATATTCTCCGTCATTTAACTTGCTCAATTTATCTAAAGCAACACCACAAAGAGCAATTGTTGCTGATGGTTCCTGTTTCTGAAGAACTGTCTGTTCATTCACTGCTCTCTGCTCCTCAGACCGGCTTTATTTTGAATCCTACCAGCCTGAAATCTCTCAGACATCAAGGTGACTTTCCATCCATTGGAAGCTACCCTTCCTGTCCTGCCTGTTGTTGTTTTTTCAGCTAATTCAGCAGCAACATTAAACCTTTCACTTGATGCCGGTATCACACAGTATCCATGCAGCAACGTGAATCTGTCTGCTCAGGAAGCTTGCTGTGGCCCCCCAAAAAACCATCAGCTTCCAAAATTTCAGGATTTAAACTCCAGCAGCTTCCATGCTTATGAACTAATGACAACAAGAATTTAATATCATTTTACCACCAGGCTGTGTGGTGTGGTTGACATGCTGGAGAGAAGGAATGCCATCCAGAGGGACCTGGACAGGCTGCAGAGGTGGAATAGTGCGAACCTCATGAAGTTCAACAAGGCCACGTGCAAGGTCCAGCATCTGGGTCAGGGCAATCCCACTGCTATGGAGACAGGCTGAGAGAGCTGGGCTTGTTCAGCCTGGGGAGTAGAAGGCTCCAGAGAGACCTTAGAGCAACTTCCAGTGCCTAAAGGGGGCCACAAGAAAGCTGGAGAGGGGCTTTTGACACGGGCAGGTAGGGACAGGACAAGGGGGAATGGCTTTAAACTGACAGAGGGGAGACTGAGAAAGGATGTGAGGAAGAAGTTCTTCCCTGTGAGGGTGGTGAGGCCCTGGCACAGGTTGCCCAGAGAAGCTGTGGCTGCCCCATCCCTGGCAGTGTTCAAGGCCAGGTTGGACCCAGGGGCTTGGAGCAACCTGGTCGAGTGGAAGGTGTCCCTGCCCTTGGCAGGGGGTCGGAACTGGATGGGCTTTAAGATCCCTTCCAAACCAAACCATTCTGGTTCTATGATTCTATGATTCATGTTACTTAATTGAATACTGGCATGTTACTTAATTAAATACTGGCTACTATAGAAGAAATTTGAAGTGAGTAACTTCAACACCCCAAATTACCAGAGTACATAAAGGTTCTACAAAACAATTTTAGTTTTTTTTAAATATAAACCAGAAACGTAGCACAAGCAAGCTGATGGGGCTACACTGCAGGAGAGCACACATACAGGTTAAGCGATCTGTATCTGTAAATAATAATAATGATCAACCCAGGGGAGCTGGGTGGGAACTTGCCTACTCCAGGGGCCACAGGACCGTAATTCAGGTTCCACCTCTCATGGCCTCTGATACACTCAGGGTACACAGCCGTGAGCACAACCCAAAGGGATTGCAGAAGAATAATTTCATTTTGTGCTGCCTTAATGTGAGTAACAACCCAATGTGCTCATCAGTACATTTGCTTTCATTCATTGTTTAATTATGAGGGCACTGTCTCCTATGCAGAGCAGAGACCTGCCTGGGAAGATTTCTGAGTTACAGGGAATATTAGGAACAGCTGCCAAATCTTCATCAAATTTGTTCATTAGTCTGCAAGAATTATTTAAGAGACTTTTCAGTTTGCTTGTTTCTCCAAGCAGGCTGACAAACCTCTGAAAGATATTTCAAAGATGTTTTGTTGGGAGCTCTAGCAGGGGTTGCTGCTCTGCCTGGAACAGGGTTCCTCCTCCAGCTGCCCTGCTTCTGCTCCTCATGGTGTTCACTGATGGAGAAAATTCAGCTCAGCTGAGTCAGCACTTGGAACTGAATGACTCCCAGGGGAAAGGGGCTTGAAGGAGAGAGGAAGGACATTCCAATCTGGCATTTTCCACAGATAAAGACTTGTGATCAGGTTCTTTCTCCCTGTTGCACTGTGTTGCCTGGTGCGCCCACCCTCATATGCAGCTTACCATTCATTACCCAACAAGTACGTTCTTAGTAGTGGAAACCAAACTTTTTTGTACACGTCAGCTCACAATGTTGTGAGGCATTACTGCTTCATGACTTTTAAGAGGCCTGGAAGAAATTACTCCTACCTTTAGCACACCAAACAAATGACTCCCCAGTAATAACTAAACCCACAAACCACGAACTCCAGAATTTTGTCTGAGGTTTTACAGACACCATTTATGAAAGAGAAACTTGATAGGCAGTGATTATGTCTCCTTTAACAGCAATACCAAGTGTCTTTCAGACCCACTCCAGCCAGCAGATGATGGTCAGGATTCCAGATGTGCTGTGAGGAGGAAGGACTCCCTTGGGCAGCCCAGCACTTCTCACATGGACAGTGAGCTTCCTTTACTCCACGTTTATAACACCTATTTGCCTCTAGATGATTTTATACAAAACATGCTAGTTCTGAGAAAAACACTAATGACAACTATCCTGTATATCAAAGATAATGGCAGTGTTTTCCTTGACCAAGTTCTCATCTGTCAGAGGAGTCCGACACTGCTGGGTGCAGGCTTGCAGTCAGACAAGTGCCTTCTCATATAAAGATCTGCTCCAGTTCAGTGAAATTCACTGAAAAACCACACTCCACAGCTTAAGCCCTCTTGCTGGCTGAACCTGAGGTGATTCCCCACCCTGCTCACGCTCAGTGGCGATCTCCCAGTACTGCCCAGGGTGCATCAATACCATCCCAAGCATCAGCTGCCTTCAAGCCACCTCCTCCGGGTTCTTGTGTGGATGGAGCTGAACAAACCAAGACCTACACAAGTTGTAGGTGGCGGAAACCAGCCTTTGTTACTTAACATTTAGTTACTTGGTCCTCTACTGACTCGACACAGCTGTGCCTGAGCACTCACCACTGTGGTGCTAGGTTAGCCAACGGAGCCCTCTAAAATGGCAGTTGCCAAGTTGTAGTAACACACAGCCAAGACCATTTGCAGAAGCCACAGCACTGAGACTACGTTTGGTAAAGGCACACAAGAGCCAACAAGTCAAAAAGCATATTTTTAAAGTAAATTTGTCAGCAGAAACGAGGTATTTGCCATTGCTGGAGGAAGGACCTAGCAAACAAGACCACACGGTGCTCAGTTAAAACTGATGTCCAAA